ACCATAGCCAGGTAGGTGCCTCGCCACTCTCCTCCTTCGCCCCCTTCTTCCTCCTCCTCAAGCTGGACCGCTCGCCATAGCCAGGCTGAGCTCCAACTGCCCTTCACCTCCAAGCAGCGCTGTAGCAGCCAGTGTTGTGCTCCAGCAGCATGTCGCCAATCCTTGAACACCGCAAATAAGGAGCTACTTGCTCCTCCGAAAGATATAGCGGCCTACTGGCCTCCTGGGCGGTGACTTCCTAGGCCGAGTGGCCTCCCAGCAACCGATACCTCGTCCCTTTCGGAGGGAAACATCATTGCAGGCTCTGCTAACCTCCGGACATGCCCTAGACCCGGGCTACTTGGACTGGTACCGGCCTACCTCTATCCTACCGCTACTAGGCCTCTAAAAATGCCAACTTTTGTCTTCTTTTGCTCGGCCTCCAGTACCCGACACTCCTACCACTACTCGAGTGGTACCGGCCTACCTGCTACTTGAGTGTTTTTCCCCTCTGCTCTAAGTGTCGCGGGCCCACCCCCGCTACTTGAGTGTTTACCCCCCTGCAACCCCCAATGTCACGGCCACAGGTAAGTACCGGCCCTGCGGGGCCTTGCACCCTTGCGGGTCACACACACACTCAACCGACAAGCACTCAGACAGGCATGCAAACCAGCAGGCACGAACACACACACAAACTTGGAAACCACAACAGAATGCGGGAATCACAGCAAGGCATTTATTCCAGTGGCAAATCCCAGAAATCAGCAGTGTTCTCAGTCTGTGTTTTTGGCGGGTCATTACACTACCCCCCTCTCAAGAGCGAGGTCCCTTCGAGCGAGTAACTCATTCAGAGTCGACACAAAATGCATTGTAGGCGTAGATCAAAAAGAGGGATTTAGTAAGACCGTAGGGAGTGAGTTTTGCAGAAAACTTAGCAGTCTGTCCATTAGCGATTTGTCGTTCATAAGCGTTCACAACACGAGGAGCATTCTTTAACAGCTCTTTTCGGTCGATCCAGAAGAATTCGGTCAACGGGTGATAGAGAAAGTGAACCTTGTACTGTCCGTTCCTCCCTCTTCCCTCGTGGGAAACAATTTTGTCTATCTCATGACCGCCATCGATAGGACGAGGTATCATAGGATCTCGGAAGGGAAAAGTTTCATCATCGATGTGTGGAAACAGTTTGGATGCGTGAAAAACCGGATACGTGCGCAGATGAGGAGGCACGTCAATCACATACGAGGGACCAAAATCATCCCCAATCACCTTCAGAATCTGCCAAGGGCCATAGTACAATGGAAGAAGCTTTCGTGATACGCCCTCTTCGTCAGAAAACTCAGACA